ATGTAATCGAAGCAAGTACTGCTTCCGCTGCAAATAAAAAATTCTGAGGTGACACAGGTGTGTGGAATAAGATTAAACTAATTAAATTAAAGAAAAGCTAATTAAATGTTAAAGTGTTGTTTCCCGAGATTAGAAAGGAGGATATTCAAGAATAGCCATTTTTCGACCGGTTTGGAAACCAAAAATTCATGCAGGACTGTTTACAGGGCCGAACATAGAGCAAAAAACTTCTTTGTTCAAAAATGGGTGGAAACATGTAAAACTAATAATGATCGTACGACAACGAGTACTCACCTACGTATATCTTATGGTTAGTGCGTATTTTAGTTTTAATATCCAAAACATGCAATGAATACTACGCTTGATTGTTAAAACTTTCAACTGTCGACTGTAATTACTAGACTGCGGATCTTTATACATTTATAGGAAATTTAATGTGCAAGAACCTACAAAATGCACACAATATGCAAGACTATAAAAGAGATCGAAAGTAAAGTTCATGTTATAAGATTTGCAGAATAAAATATATTCTGATTTAGGTTCAATTTTTGTAGGCACGTTCGCGAAGATTTTATTTCGCATAAAGATCCGCAGTCTAATAATTACATCTAATTATTTCATATCTTTTATAATTACATTTAATTATTTTTTATTTTTTATTAAATTATAAATAAGCTTACTTAAATAAAGAGTCGTAATGAACACCGCTCTCTCTCCATATATGTTCATAATATCGTACTCGGCCTTCGATTTGATGGCCTTCCAGTCATGGAATATATCATCCATAATTACCTTGAACTACGAATTTGTTAGTAAATTATAGTGAAAGTCACGGCTGATAGCAATGAATATCTCTTCACCCTTGCTTCATTAACGGCATAATGGTATATTTTCGCCAAAATTAAAAACGCCATGCACAAAAATGGACACTGGTCATATAAAGCATCCGAACTATCGGAAATTACAACTTTCGCTACCTATAAATAAAATCAATATAATAAATGTCGTTCGCAACCATACTTATGTATATATACGAATTTTTATTATTATCAACTTTGCGATAGAACGTTAATTCTAGTCGAATAAACGACAGGAATCAATGTAATATGAGTACTTACCTGCATAAAAGTAGTTATTATAGAGAATATAAGTACAACAAGTCGCGCAAAATATTTTGGACAAGTACTTTGATAACACCATAATCCGCAAAGTTGAGTGAACGTTTTAGTGGTCTTCAAGTATCGCCTTATGACAGTCTTGGCATCCATGGTAGAAGCAAAACGAACACCAAAACCCGACTGATTGTTACGCGAAAAGAAGCAGAAAGATTTACGATCGTCATAAATGATCGCATAGCTATCGGTCATATCATTAAGTGGTTGCTTGAATAATTCATAGACGTGCAGAAGCTATTACGCGTCGCCTGACTAACCCTTATTGTCTTCAATGATTGGTGCGAAACACGTGAAACCATGTAGTGCTCGTTAAAAATTAATCTTGAAACGTCTGAAAGCTTTCAATATCAGCAATTGGTCTTGTGAGGTATTTGGAATGGTTTGATTGTACGGTATTCCCATTACGCGAACGTTCTTCTAACATGTTTCTTATCCGAATAACGTGTCCTTTTCTAGATGTATTTCTACGTACGTTGCGGTACCAACAAGCAGTCAGTTCAAGTATAACAACGTTAAGTGTTCTCTAATTTTTCATTCGCGTCTCAACATGCACACTGTTTTTTTATTTATTTGCCGTTACAAAATAAACGAAAGGAGACCATGTTTGACGAATACTGGTAAAATCTGAATCTGTTGTTATCAAAATAATGGATTTTCAAAAATAAAAACTATTGAAAACACAAATTTATTCTGTGTATATACACACTGTGTTATACGCAAACAATTTTCATATTAACTTAGGCAGTAAGCTGCATATTGATATGCTTTTTCTAATCAAGAATTTTTAGAACTTCATATTCAATGATTTATGATAAATAACTATAGTTTATGTAGCGTTTTTATTATTTGATTCAATCATTACGTTACAAGCATAACAAGTAAAAAGGAAAGTCATATTTATTGAAATCCACATTAAAATAATGAAATGTAAGATTATACATATACATACATAATTGCTATTTCATGAATGTACTGATGGTCTCTAGCTTTGTATTCTTGTCTTCATGTACCAATTGTACTTAATGAATGTTTGAAAGTAGTAAGTTTCGTAATCGATTACAAAAAAAAAAAATAAAAAAAAAAATCTTATGCATCGAGAACACATAGACGCTAAACTTAATAATTCTTTGAACAACAACTATTGAGTTTATTTGACTGACAACGGGACTGACAGATAAATATTTAAATAAGATTTCGAAAGGTCTTAGCAATGAATAAACGCCGCCATTCAGCGACATTCGCCAAGCTGTAGTGACCGCGAGTGATTCTAAAATAAATAAATTGAAAAAAAAAAACAGCAAGCGCAAGTTAAATTGTGATATAAGACAATACGTAAGTTCACTGTGATAATGTTAGTATCTAATGTTAGTAAATAACAGTGAATATTCGTAGGTTATAGATAAAGTTTCGTTTAGATATAGCACACTGTGTTTTATTTCAAACGAATATTATTATGTATAATTAGCGCGGGATCATATACTCAGTAAGCTCGAGCCAGGATTGCCTGGTGGCGCCAGGTCGCTGCGTAGCCGGAGACGGTTGAGGAATTCGAACGCCGTCTGGCGACTGGCGCTAAGATCCCACGCCGGCGAGCGCGTCGCCGGGGCCCTCTTGCCGCACCTCAAAAGGTGGCGGGAGAGGCGGCAAGGAAGGCTCACCTACCGGACGACGCAGGTATTCACCGGACATGGCTGCTTCGGTGTCTACCTGTGTCGCATAGGGAAGGAAGCGGCGGCAGCCTGCCGTCACTGTGGCGAGGAGGAGGATTCGGCGCAGCACACGCTGGAGGAATGCCCCGCCTTTTCAGCGCAACGTCGAGTCCTACGGGCCCAAATCGGGCAGGACCTCTCGCTCCCAGTAGTAGTTGGGGCTATGCTGGAGAGCGAGGGGAACTGGAGGGCGGTGGTCTCCTTCTGCGAAGAGGTTAGCTCGCAGAAGGAGGCCGCAGAGCGGGATCGGGAGTTCGCCGATCCGTCACCGGCTACCACAGAGGACAAACGATTGCGGGAGAGGGGGAACGACAAGGTAAATGCCGATCCTCCCTGGCGGTCGCGATACCCAGGGCGGGGGCCCTGGGTATGCCAAATAATGCGGCCGCCGAGATGTAGCGGTGCGGGGCGCTGCCTCTCTGCACCGCAGATTGGGAGGTGGTAAGGGGGGACATAATCTTTTCCCCCTCGGGACGCGGCCGGCCAAAAGCTACCAGATGGCCGGCCTAGGCGAGGGGGAGCTGCGGCAGCGTTCTATGAGAGATCACGCGGCTCCTCCTAAATCGTCGAAGTTGGTAGAGCGTCCGAAGGTCGCCGTGGAGGTTTTAATGGGTATAACCCCACACTACCTTCCACCCGCTTCCCCGGGCTGGTGGCAGGTGTCTGTTATCAGATTTCCTCTACGAAAAAAAAAAAAAAAAAAAAGGAGAGGTCGCTGCGTAGCCAGCTGATCGCGCGTTAATCGGGTCCTGTGATTGGTCGGTGTTTTTCGTTAATAATTTAAAAATGAAGCCCCCACCGACATTTTAGCAAAGGAAATTGTTGTTCAGAATCGTCTCAGCTACCCCCCATTTCCGGCTCCTACGCGGGTTTTGAGACACCCTATATAACGCCGATAAACGAGTTTAATTTGGAAGGCACTAAAATACGATAATAGTTTCTCGTCGTGAAAGATGAACTACTGGTCGCAAAATTAGCAAAGATCAAATTATTTCCCTTCATTGCGCGTATGTTACCGGATGTCATCAATTTCCAATTCTAATCGACAGATAAAGTAATAATCCACGCTGTTTTGAACATGTCGATACGAATGCAATACGAATTGTATATAAAACTCAGACAAATGTTTGGATGGATAGCGACATTTTTTACGACTATTTTGCGAATGTTTCTATACCAGCGGTTCAAGACTGCAATTAAAATATGGTCATAAAGAAAAATGCGAGTTGCAAAATGTTCTGCTTAACGAGGGAAATATTTTTAGAAATGTTAAAGTTTTTTTTTTTTAAATTTGTTGGGTTTTGACTCGGCCATTGAAAAACCAATTGAATTGTAAGCCATTGAAATCAATGTTTCCGCTTCTCAAAACTTCAACCGCATTTGGTAGTTGGCAGTGAACAAGTTGATCACTTTTAAGAAACATTGGCATACTGCTTCAATTGCTCTGTCGTATAAAAATTTCAGGGATCTGATGCGCCTGGGAAAATATTTGATGTACTTCTTAACTTCGTATAAAAATTGCCAAAATGTTATGATAACAAACCAGCATCCAGCTCTTGTCTCTTGACGTTCATCAGAATCTTGTTGGCTACCGCTTCGACGTCGTTCAAGGTCAGATTGCCACCAATCGCCAACCGTCGTTCGTATTCCAGTATCTGGTTCCGAATTGTCGAGTAACTGATTCGCGGTAACGCGACATTTGCGACCACATGACCGAGTATTACCGCGAACAAAAAACGAAATTCCTTCATGGTTCGTGATCTGTATTGCAGCGCACAATGTTATCGTTCGCTCGATCGCGTTACGTCGCGACGCGATTTACAAGTCCAATCGCGATCCGATCGTCTCGACAGTTCGACGTGTACTGACGTACGTACCCAACGTTTCAGCCAACTAATTGTCTATACCACAATAAGTTTAATAACAGCTCTGGGGTAGCTGGTTTGAGTATGGGCAAGCGAGTGGTAGGAGTGAGACGTGACGGTTAGACATACGGTTTAAGTCTATAGTCCTAGATTTTTAAATTTCCTGAAAGGTCTTTCAGATGAAAGCATACGTCTCAAAGCTATACGCGTGCTGGGGGTGCTGCGTCCCCTCGACCATCCCTCAAAACAATATACATCCCTCAGAGTAATCATGTACACATCTGCGAGGTGCGCTGCAGTACGCATACTATATATACTGTGTAAGTTTTGTATATAACACTGTTCCATATTACTATTAGGTTGTCCCGAAAGTTTCTTTCGCGAGTTGCACTCAATTATTTTATTTAGTCGTGTTTATATAAATAGACAATCTAATTTCATAGATACTCATGTTGTAATAGTAATGGAGCAAAATGAACCGTGCTCGATTCAGTAATAACCATAAAAAATAAAATATTGTACATGTATTACTTATTAATAAAGCGAAAGAAACTTTTGGGACAACCTAATACAAATAATAGCAATATTCAAAGTACAATAAATGAATTTTATTTGAAATTATTAGAATTCATGAATGTACGCGCGTGTTAAATTTTGCGATTGTTTGCGATAATCATTTTTGTCCTATTCGCTTTTTAATACTTTGTGACGTGTAACTTAGCCGCGATCCTTTCTCTTTTCGCTGAACTGCGGCAGTGCTCGCGCAAACGAAGTTGCTCGGTCGAGCCCATAACTACCGAGCCGCGAGGAACAAATTTCACAAAATTCACAATAACAAAATTGAAAATATATTGATAGTAGAATTTTAAAGACTTAACATTTATTAGTTGCACCCATTGGATTAACGCTATGAATAAATAATTTAAATTAGAAATTATTTATAACATACTTAAGTAATTGTGTACTTAACTTCTTGCTGCGCAAAGGTCTGTCTTTGATATTATTGTCTTATGTTATTTTATGATCATGCGAACCATGAATGATATTTATAGAAAGTTAAAGAATATTAAACCATTTCTGTTTATTTTTGATATCGCATTGCCTTCATTTTAATATCAAAGTTTAAGTTCATTTGCAAGATTGAAATGTTTTTTTGTTTGCTTAATAGTATAATAATTGGACCATGATTTTCTGTACGAAAAAGTCTTGGTTCTTACTTTCCAAAGTATCAACATTTTTCCAGTCTACGCTTACGTAACTAATTTACTTCACTCATTTATCGTGTATGTTTTGCATACCGCAATGTAACACATCCTAAGTCAATTAAAAAAAGTAACAGAGAATGAAATATTGAAGTTCAGTATTCAGTACAGAATACTTTCCTTTCGATAATAAATACATTGCTCCGCGTAGAAACTGTTAGACATCACATTTGTCGTATGAACTTCGTTAACAGGAAAATATACCGAATCGATGCTTTGTAGAAACTAACAACTGAAAAAATTACAAACATCTTATCAGATAATTGAACTACTATTCACTAAGGATACACATAGAAAAAATATATTTTTTAACATATTTTCCGTATTAACAAAGTTGATATTTTGTCGGTATAATACGTTAGATATAAATTAGCGTCTGTTCCATATCATTGAACACAGGATATGTAAACATAACTTTTCTGGAACGAACGAAGCCGATTGTATCGGCTTCTGTCAAATCTTTCACGTATTTGACGTATATTCTTGCATTATTCACGCAGAATAATACCAACTACTTTTTACATAAAATATATATTTTACTGATTCAAGAAATTCCATAGCCAAGATAATAGTCTTTATCAAATATAGTAAGACTTGTAATTTTTTCAAGTTTATAAAAAATCGATTTACCGCTTTTCATGGGCCTTGAAAACTTAGTCTGTTGCTACTGGGGTTTCTATTTTAGCCATTGAACTTTTTATTAATCCGCCTGATGCGATGATAGTCCCGTTCGAACACTCCTAACAAACGATCATTTGTACCGTATGATTTTTATTAACATTTTCTTATCAAATGGCCCTGTCGTAGATCCCTGAGTACGAACCGATGAAAAATTAATCGCTATCTAGAATATTGTGCTAGCGTTCTAGAAAATTCGTGGATAAAATTCATAAAAATTCATTATGATTGGAACAATAAACTTCTTAAAATGAGCTTCAGAGATACAATATCCATACATTGTTTGTCTTTGAACTGAACTTCGTCACTTGCATCGCGCGATTACAAAAAATAACATCTCGCAAACCTTGAGACCGTATTATACTCGATGTTTCACGTTTAACCAGTTCTTCGATTGAGACTCGAAGCAAGATCGAACACGAGTATAAGCTGCGTCAGTTTACGGCTTGATGGGTTTACTTAGAAGACGATCGCGACAAATGATACTGAATTAGGTTAAGAAGCTTTTAGGGATTTATCCGCATGTACTAATGTGAGTGACCCTACGAGGGACACCAACGTACGGTCTAACCATGTAATTGGGTTTGGGTAGAGAAGACCACCTTCGTAGAATCCCAAATGACCACCATGAGCTAGTTGTATGTACAACGTGTTGGGGTGTTTCACTGAAATAGAAAAGGTATGTTTTAAGTATAAAATAATTAACACATTTTCTCAACAGATCAAGGAAATTTCACTGTATATGCCAAGCCAGATTATGTGCTTACAAACATACATGATAGGCGTGAATCATTTTTAAAAATACTACTGCATAATATTTTTTAAATCTCAGATTGACGACAAGCAGATGGAGTATACGATTGCAATCGGTCTGGACAAATTCCATCGCAAATGTTACTGATATATTTAAGATAAGTTTTATTGATTTTCCTGGGGAATATCCAATAGAGAACCTGACACATTTGTGGTAGAGATAACTGTTTAATAAGCTTGTTTCTTTATCGTAGCCTCGAGAAACACAGCAACAATGACCTGGATTAATACTAGTCATTTAAGGTGATTCGGTCAATTAAGACACAGTGCACGCCGAATACGTTGTTATACTTTAATTTAGTTGTAAAGTACTTTTTAACCATACCTAGATTGAGATAGAGATATTCTCAACCATGTGTAGGTTTTGTTAGAGCAATTAATACAGAACCATTATTCACTTTACAGTCAAATTGCGTTCCTATAAATATAATTACTCTATCATTAGGATTATTTTGATCGTGGTGTAAGAACGTCGACATTAAAATTATTTCAAACATGTGTGTAGTTCTTTCAAAATAATGTATTTATGAGGAAAAAAATAACTTTACAAAAAATCGTCGATGGTTGATAGAAATCGTTAACTTCTCAAAGTTCTAACTCTAAATTGTTGTTTAAAAAGGCACAATGCCTGCATTTGTAAAGATTCATGTCTTTTCTGAAATTGTTCACCTCTTATCTTAAACATCATCGATGTCAGTAATGGTGTCGATATTTGTCCAGACTAATTAAAATAGCACACCGTGTATACACGTGTTACACTCACAATCAGAGAAAGATCATATCATCGTGTTATAATCGAATGAAATCTCAAAAATTTCAAGTGGTTATTATGTAACATAATAACTTGCTTTCTGCGCTGATCTTATAACATCGAATTCAATAATGTTACAATGTAACGCTACTACTACGGTGCTCCGAAACTTTTTATACTTAGTAGACTGCAGATTTGGTAATTATAGAGAACGGGTACATCCTCACCGATTTCTATGATTCCAAGATATAAAAATCATCGAAATCGGTGAGGATGTACCTGTACTCTATAGTTGCCCAAAATATTGAAAGTAAAGCTATTATTAAAATACTTTCACAGCAAAACAAATTCTTATTTAGATACAATTTTTATAAGAACGTTTGCAAAGACTCTATTTTGCAAAAGGTCCGCAGTCTAGTAATTATGAGTAAGAAAGAAAAGAAAGAAATTTATATTTACGGGCATGATCCTTGATGGGTTCCAACAACATTTCAGGTACAATAGGGTCATCCAGAGCATTCATGAACACCATAGGTGTCGTAATGTTTTCAAGATAAAACAGAGAGCTACTCCATTTGTACATCTCCTTCACAGATCTGAAGTTGTGAACCTGGAAGATTAACAAACATCCAGGATACATACTTTAGAGCAGATCTTACCCCTCAAACATCAACTTGAATCAACAAGATTAAAGTAACGAAAAGTAGGAACATTAAGTTTTAAAATAGTTTTTTATTCGTCATGCATGACGACGGCCCTGATTCACCGAGGTAAATCGTGCTTTCTAAATTAATATTTTTTTTTATCTGTAAGAACTAGAAACCAGTTCAACATTCGCCGTGGATGGTTTCCTCTTTAGAAATGTTTGCAGAAGACGATAATGCATAGTGAATTCGATCTAGGCGAATAACTTTTCAAAAAAATACAAAAATATTTCGTGAAAAGTACTCGCATTGGGAACTCTTCGAATTTCAATGTTCATTTACAGGCATCCCAGAAATGCAATAAATTGTATTAAAAAAGAAGAATTTGATTCTGACTTGGGAAGATCCGCTAAATATTTTTGATAATTAGACATCGAAAAACTTCACTTTACCTTTCTCGTGTACGCTTCGTCAAGTTCTGGCAACGTAGCTGCGGAAATGATGTCTCTCTCGTTTAAATTATACCTTTGCTTAACTTTCTCGCATAGTAACATGTTCTTATGCTTAAGGATAATATTCTTCACCGACTCCGACATTATGTAGAGATAGAAACGTCGGAAATTTTGCCAGTTAAGTAGAAACTTCGTACCTCTGAACAAAAATCATGACAAGCAAATATTAGTTATCTCAATCTTAAATAAACAATACCTATAATATATTGTAATATACGTTACGTACCCAAACAATTATAAAGAGAATTACCAATTCTAAAATTCACTTTGATATAAACCTCCGTTAACGTATGAACTTTATTATTTAAAAAGAAAACATCGATATAGGCTTTGAGGAAATTGTTTCATGATCATCTCGATGCTATATACATGGATAAAGATACTATTCCACATAAATTGTGCACAACTTTTTCTTTATATTGCGTCAAATTAGAATTGGCCATTTCAACTTTAAAACTGATTAAATACGTACGATATACTATATGGATATATTTACGTGTAACCGTATATATTTACTCGAGTGCATTGTATCCTTGACAAATCGATATCCCGCCGATAATATTGGGCAATTTGTTCGAGCCTCGTTCTCCCAAATACTTGGTCACCAGATTACCGCCCAAGCTGAATCCGATGCAAACTATTTTTGTATTGGGGTGTTTCTCTATCAGGCTCTGTAGCATAACGTTGTAGTCCTCTGTGTGCCCTGTAAAGTTTAGATCAGACAGAAAATTCATTACAAATTCAATTAACGCTTCGGCCATTAAACTACGGCGAGATCCTTTCGATGTTAATACCGTTCAAGACCTCAGAGTATACACCGTGCACTTTAACAAATTATTCCTGACCACTATTTAAATCAATGATTTACATTTGCGAATAGTAGCCCAGATACCCAAGGTAGTGAAAATTACTTAAAGGAGGTCGTTCATGTAAAAATTAACTGTCAGTAATTTTCCATATAAAATTTCGGAAGCGTCCCTTCGATTCTCCATCTGCCTTTCAGTAAACTCATGCGCCACCAAATTTCCTTCTTTTTGAATTTGAATTTTTCCCATGCACACGCAAGCGTTTGCTGATACCTCGACGAGTCACGTTTACTGCTCCCGCAAATTGATCTTGTGTTTGCGTGTATCATCTTCATCCAATAACGCTTGCGGATCAGCATCCTCGATTGTTTTTGGTCTTTCGGAGCGCTCCTTGTCTTTAATGTTGAAATCGCCACTTTTGAAGCGTTTAAACCAATCCTCAAAAATAGTTTTCGATAGTTATTTGGCACAAAACACGACATCTTTACCGTTAAAAATAAACTTTTGCGTATAATTTTGAAAAGGCTCCGGGATCTTTAAATCATTATTTAACAAACTGCCATAAATGGGAAAAAAGCAAATATAAGTACAGAAGAGCTTTTAGAGGATAGATTTAACGTAAGAAATAAGGATAAGAGAACAAATGGAGTGTGTGTAATTGCGTTGTGTGATAAATGTAAATAAACAGATTGTACGGATGAATGAGTTATAGAGGATGTAAAACCAAGACACAACCAAGGATACAAATTATATCGAGATTATGCGTACAATACTAAAGAGTAGACTTTTATGATTGCCTGTTCTACTAACAATAGGCTGTACGTAATTACTGAGAGTCGACTTTCAATCGCATTCATTACTAAGGGTACAGATATTAAAATAATAAACGAAATCTGAGGTGCTGCTTCATTTAGTCCCAGATTTCCCGTGAAATGACCCATCTTTTAATCGTTTTCAAACAAATTGATTTTCTCTAAAAACTGTAATTCGTAATCAATACTATTGATATAATCGTTAAAAACTATTTTGATTGGTCAATTCGACTATAAACGAATTAAATACGAGACACTGCGATACGTTGTACTCGGAGTCAAATGAACCGGTTCGCACAGATTCGTTCATGTGTTATCTCCATAATATTGAGGGCACCAAAGCTTGGCTACCGAATGTATTTAATCGACCGGTCAATTAAATTTCATTCGCGTCGTCGTAAATTGCGTATTAACGTACCGTAAGTAAATATTCGTGGCGCAGTGACTTTCACGCTAGAGAGAACGCCGAGATGATTGAGTACAGCGCATCGGTACCCATGGCATTGCACGAAGTGCACAAAAGTTCTGATGTAGACGCTTTCAGAACTGTTGCAGATCCCGGGGCAAATGGCGATCGTGACATCATCTGTGACAAAATCAAATTTCGAACGTTACGCAGAACCCGATGTGTTTAATATGCCTCTGAAACATACGAAAGGCTTATTCATGCGTTCATACGGTAACTAAATGTAAATGAAAGGGGCTTGTTATTTTTTTTCTTTTATACACAAGCATCTCTCTTTGATGTCAACCAAGTTACCCGAATCTCTCGACGAAACATTCAGTCTCGTTATTATTATACTTGTAACCAACGTACAAGGTAACGTGTTCGTGGTAACGTTCCGCACGATTTTTCATTTAACAGGTTAGCATGTTAACATTCGATATTCAAATGAAAAAATAACGGTTTTACTTTCAGAATTTTACTGGACAATTTATAAAAAAAAAAAAAAAAAAAAAAAGCTAATGCAGGTTAACGATCTTTCTTTTCACGTTGTTTCCGTAGTATCCTATTTATAAATAAGAAAACTGACCTTCGTAATCATTCGATAGTGGTTGATAAAGATCGTAGGTGAGAGTAGTATTATCCGGAAGTCCGATGTATACTCGTTCCCCGATCGGCCAAGGGCAACGGACGCGCCCAATAATGCTATGAATGATGGTCTGTACGTGCCCACTGAAACCCCACAACCTTGTTGGTTTGTATCTGAAATAAGCAAACAATATGATGTAACATTTATTGCTGTGCGTACCCATTCACACCCAACCACGAGATGTTTCGTTGTTCAAATAGATCGCAATCACTCGAGAGATTTATAGCTTTTTAAGCAGCGAATTATTGCAAAAAATCGTAAATTATTTTTTTTTTTTTTTAAAGTCACAAATTTAATACCACTTTTTATTATCAAAATAATAACAGAGATCACATATCTGCATTGAATCTTGGCTCCCAAGACAAAACGGTTTAAATTTACTGAGCAGTGAATGGGTTAAACCATAGGGCCAACGCATAACAATTTATGAGTACTTGAATCTCTATTTATTTATTTAATATATAAACCATAATAACATATATATATATATATATATATATATATATGTTATTATGGTTTATATAAAATATAATATATAAACCATAATAACGTTTTATATGTTAAAAATGAATTGAAAATTATAAGGTGAACTTTAAGAGTACTTATTAGGTATAATATATTAATCTTTATAAAAAAAAAAAGAATCATTTTATCATCTCGGAAATTTCATGAAGACAAAATTTGCCCTTTGCAGCATGTTATTTGGTCGCATAATTTAAGAGACAATGAAAAATCAATATAATTCACAGAGAAATAAATTATAGGTCATTCATCACACGACCGACTTCGCCATCAACATTTATATTTAAAAGTCTATCTCTACATTACACCCAGTTAAATGTATTTGCACCTACGCGAATAAGAATAGTATTCCGCTTTACTTTAATTATACCAAGGTAATTATCAGCAACGACAGATAATAAAAGCGAAGCGCCATGATCAATGATTTTTGGCAGTTCGTTTGTCTGGGATTTTCTAAATCGAATATTTGAATAGCTTCGACTTTGTAAGGAAGGTAAATGAGAGTTGTAATACTTTCGAGTGGTTCTCAAAGTTTTCAAACAAATTCAATACACAAGCATTCATTTCAAAAAAGAATGTATCGAGTTAAAGGAATAATTAGCACTCGTCTCCAAAAGAAGATATAGCGTTTGAAAGCAACGGCCGTAGAGCAACTAACTCTTTTGGCTTGCGATCCAGTTTCATAGTGATATACAGATTTCGCCTATGTCGGAGATAACGCATTGTGTCGTGAAACAGTTGTTAACCGCGTGAAAGTGTGTCTCGTCTTTCACAGAAATTCCATGATTTACGTACCACTAAATGTCTCCGCAAGTCGAAAAGCGCATCGAACGCTAGCAACAGATTATTAATGTTCTCTTTATTGCAGTGGACGAAGAACCGGAGTGGATCAGTGGAGCATACGAAACGACGAGGAACTAGCATTAAACCCGCGTAAAACGCACTTTTACATTTGCGATGCGAAAGGAACGAACGTCTCGTCGATTCTAACTTTTCCATAAAAAACAATTTCTCTGTCGCGTGCAAGTGGTGCATCGTAGCTTTGCTGATCCTAGAGGAAAATAGAATCCGGGGCCTCGTTTAAAAAGAACAAACGGATACCTCTCACAAGCTGGCAGGACCAAATCGGCAGGATCATATCGGACTTGGCGGAATATTTAGTACTTGTTCTGTACTAATTCGTACAGAAACAATAATTTTGTAACTCGTGCCATTTTCGTAAAAATCGTGGCCCTGACATAAATTTCTATTTTTAATTATTAATTGTATAACCGCTCCCGTTATCAATAGCCTTTTGCCATCTAGTGTTGAAATTGTCAGTGCCAGATCTATAAAAATCAATGAGCCGATGAACGATAAACAAGTATTTAAAATTGCAAAAACGACGTTATTTTCCGGTTCACCTAATACTATTCTAAGAATTTGGGAATCTATGTTAGGAAACACTGCCCAATAGGGTAATATGCCACTGGGTATGCCACTGGTAGGGATAAGTATAAAGACCCTTTCTTCTTCCAACATTAAATAAACTGTGCCAGTAGACTATGTTAACGAGAACATAAAATTTTGAAGAAAGGACTACTCTGTTTTGTTGAACTTGTAGCGAACCCATTGCAAGATTTTACGACGTCTAGCCATTATCGTGCACCTTATATTTAGCAGTGGTCCCATGTTTTATGACCGCTTTCTACAGCTATCAGTTCTACTCGGTTTCCTTTGCTTTTGTAAACGAAACAAGTAACGCGCGTACAACAAAAATTGAGTTTTTTTTTTTTTGTAAGGAATTAAACGAAACCCACCGTTGCTTGTGTGATGGGAAATGAACTCACAACACGCGGAACTAACTAAAACAGTACATGATACATTTATGAAAGAAATGGACGCATGAAAATGAATACAAATTAGCACACAATGAAAAGAAAAAGAAAAATATTAATTTAAATTTTTGAGCGGAGTTGTAGACAGAAAGTTTCATTTTTTTGGTCAAATTTGCACCACGCATTGCCTCGTAAAATCAGTCGTAATGAAAACAAGAAATTCCTTCGTGCAAGCACGAGCTCTGCACATGTACTAACAGAAAATATTTGATTTTTTAATTTCAGATGAGTCTGGTCATAAGTTGTCCCGACAACGTTGAGAAAACTTTTTTCAGAGAGGTCAAGGGAAACGAGGTCCCAATGGCTGAATTCTCAATGCAAGAAGTTTCAATCTGTCTCGGAGTGACGAGCAATACAACATTTTTCGTTTTTCTGTTTTTTTTTTTTTTTTTTAACGAGTAAAAAATGACAAGTCGCAAAATGTCTTAATAACGGGACCACTTGGGAGACATGCTCCACAAGATGCAAGAGGTTTCATCCCGTTTGGCTAAGCCATCTCGGCGTAGTATTCTCCTTTTTCGAAGTCCGTTAAAAAATGGTTCGAATCCAAATGAAAAATCGATGACAATATACTACTTTGCATTAGCTATCATGTTGCGTAGATAAAAACGGCGACGACCTTGAAATCTCGCAAAATATGACATTGACAAAAACTGTTCGTCCATCGAGATCTTTGTCCCTGCGAACTGACCAATGTTTTCCAGCGACATTTTTTTCCTATGATGAAATACGCACAAGGTGTTTAACACGTTCCGCGTAACGTATACGTACGTACCACTAATGGAACGTTGAACTTGACCTTCACGCCACATGTATCACGAATGGTACACGCAGAAATTTATTTAACGCGCTGAAAACATATTTCGTGACCAATTTAGTTCTTTAAAATATATTTCCACCGAGAGGATTAGGGATTATTAAGAATGCAATATAGAACAGAACAGAACAACGTATGGATTAATGATGTATTGAAATATTGTGTGATAATTAGACTGAAGCTTTTTATACATTTATAAAGAAATTTGAATGTACACAAAACTACAAAATGCACAAAATATGCAACAATACAGAAAAATATTGAATGTAACGTTCATATTATAAAATTGCCGATTAAAGTAAATTCCTATTTTGGATTCAATTTTTGTAAGTACATTTGCAACAATTTTATTTTGCATAAATATCCGCAGTCTAGTGATGATACATCAATCTTTGGTCAAAACAAAATGGCTCAAACGACAGAGCGGACAAACGGCTTAGCACAGAATGTGTTAAGATCCAAGAATTAGGACACCTTGTATAATCCACTAGTCCATACATGCGTTTTGTAACAACACCGTGGATGATGTCCGTTCGGAAATTTCCACGAGTGCAAAATTTTCGCTCGTACATCATCTGTTGATACTCGGTACAAATTGATAATCGTGTCACAAGTGCATTCAAAGTGTCTCTATCACGTTTTATGTAACTGCGTTCAGTCTGAGTTGAAAGATACGAAAAAACGAGACGCTGCTGCGTCGCAATAAAGTTCAAAAATTCGCGTAGCAATCGTTAAACGTAAATGTGCCAAAATAACGAGGCGGTAATTGTCAAATGTACAGTATCCCGTGGACAATTTAATTGTTGAACAATTGTGATAGAAAAAGGCAAGGCCAGGAAGTTGAAAGAGAAACTATGAAACAGAGAATCTTGCAACAAAATTATCTGCACCACATAATTTGGCCGCTTGAATTGTTGTATATATTTTTTTATTTTAAATACAAACAAGCTTAACCCTTCGCGAACGAGTATCGTGTTAAAATATCTTTTTGTCAGATTATCGCAGGTACGTGAAAAATCGTGAAAAATGTTACGTGGTACGCCCTGTGTATACAAAATTTGAGAAAGTATATCGCATAATTATCTGGAAAAAAATTGAATACCATCCAGTGGGTACGAAATGAAGTAGCAATTAATTCATTTTTAATAAATACAATTCGAAACTTTGACATAAAAGGAATACACAAGCTTGTATGAACGATGGAAAAGAGTCGAACTAATAAATGGTAATACTTCGTTAAATGCGATAATATTTTTTAAAACTTCAGAGTATCTCAATTATGTTTTAAAAAAACGCCACACGAACTTTCTTCGGTATCTACTGCCATTTTTTTTTTTCAATTATATGCATATTAAGTAAAGTGCAACTGTAGATAATAAATATCACAACTAAATTTTGTGTTCGAATATATCTGTAACGCTAACTGTAATTGCACCAACAAGGTGAATCTTATCGGTCCCTATGAATTATCAATGTACGATGCCATTGTCGAGTTCTCGAAACTTCTTACGAATCAATGGAAAACTAGAATAGCTTCCTATGTAACTAAACGAGTTTCCCTTTGAGTCTTCCTCGTTATACGTGATTTCTCCATGGAATGGTAGTTGTAATAACGACAGATAAAGACGTGATGATGCACGCATAACGTAGTTTTTAATTATAAACTGTATCACAGTTATCGCTCAGAGTTCTTCCTTTGGCTCGAGTTACGCTCGATGCAAAGGTAGACTTTTTACGTCTTTCATACGTTCTTATAGAACTTATAGCCATCTACGTTCATGGTCAGAACGTAATCGATCAAAATTGAGCACGCGGCTTGTTTTACCTTTTACGTAGCGTTACGGTAATGTTGGTTGACGTGACGTTTCCGTTGCATTCCGTAACCATCATCTGATAA